GGTGGAAAATAAAAAGAGTAAAAACCCTATTTCTTTAACAGTGAGTATTAAAGAAAATGTTAACGTCTGGTTGACCTACATGTCTGCTTTGTGATTTTTTGCTCTTGGTGACAACATTACTAAACAGTAATTGCACATTTCCCATTTTTCTTTCTCTGAGATGCCACCAGTCAGGTCTTCAGGCACTGTTCTTGACACCAGTGTCATCTTTTTGAGGATTAAAAATGGGGAAAAAGAAAGAAGGCTACTGTACACACAAGGAGAAAAATAATGTTTACAAAGAGGAATAGTGTATAATTTTTCCTCTGCTCAGAAGACTTCCTTAACAGTGAATATTTATGAATTTGTAGTCAAAGTTTTTTCCTAAATGATTGCCTAATGATGGGTTTGGAGTTAGGGAGTGTCAGTATGCCGTTTAGGTATGGGAAAAGAATACCTCATCCCCTTTGCATAGGGACAACCACTACTGAATATAAACTGGACTGACTTAATACCCTCGCTTCTTAAAGTGATTTATTTGTTTTTAAGTTACTTAGTAGGTGACAACTTGTAATTTTAACAATTGCTATGGAAACTACATGCTTTCAGTTTTTACTTGCTGTAACACCATTTTCAGGAATGTGAAAACAGTAGTGAATTGCTTTGAATACAGCAAGGTTTGTTGTTCTTTTCTTTTAATAATCTGTTCTGGATTGTTTTTCTCCAAGGCATGACAAACATCAGCTATAAATAAGCTACTTGAAGTCTCACAGCCCACTCTGGGTTGGTCTTCGTAGCGGGATCACAAGCTGTAAGCAACAGGGCAGCATGAAGAGAAAGTCTGCTACCTGTGATCCTGCAGTGTCAGGAAAAAGGCAGCATAGTAGTTCCAGTGCCTGGGACTTTGAATTTGAGCTAGGGTGAGGAGGATTCCCACGCTTGCCAAGAAGCCATGCATTAAGGGCTTCATTTGAGTGGTCTAGACAGAGGAGGAGCTATTGTTGCACACAGAGCTGTAACAAGACGTTGCTGTGCACCTGGAGCTTTCCTTCCAGTGCTTACTGGGGTCCTTCCAGTCCCTACTGCTGCAACAAATCCGCAGGGTACACACCAGTGCAACAGGCTTAAAATTAGTTTCATTTGGCACAGCTGTTAGCAACTTAGGGACATGCAGCCTTTCTACGGTTTCTGTAAGCCATTATCGTCAGCTCACAAAGCAAGCACTGCGTGTAGAGTTGCCAGTGTTGTGTTCTTTCAGCCATCATCCATGCTGACTGTATTTGTGGAGTGAATTCAGTAGGACATACCATCTCAAGTCCTTCTGCTGGAGGTTTGGCAGCAGGGCCAGCAGCAGAAAGATGAATGACTCTCTATTGTTTTGAATCTTGATGTGTCAGGATTTTGTGTATGCTTTCGTGTCAGCAGGTTTTAGTAGCAATGACTTCCATGTATAATACTTGTTATGCAGAGAGAATTTCCTCCTCATAATTTTGAATTTATCTTTAGTTGAAGGGCCCTTTGTTGTTAGGGCTCAGACAGAAAGGGAATTGCTGAGCTGTTACTGATGCTCTATTGATTATTTTATTATAGCTCCTCTTACATGTATTTTTCCTCAAGTCCTGGTGGCTTCTGACTTTTTCTGCAGGATAACTTTTCTATCTCCTTGGTCATTCTTGCTGCCTGACTATGAGTCTTCTTTCATAATCATGTATTATCCATCAACACAGTCTGCCCTGAGGATGTCTGCTCAGCTGGTAGACATCTGATAAATTACATGCTAAATCTAGGTATTTCCAGAAAGATGTTCCTATCTTTCTGTCTGTCTCAGAGTCTCTTTGTAGGTTATTAAAAGCAAGTCTTTTCTCGTTGAATCCTCGTAGCTGATAAAGGAAGTATCTGTTTCTACTTTGCTTTTTTAAGTTAGGTGAGGCAGATCACTCTCTTTCTGACTGCCTTGTTCTTATTTACCATGCTCTCACTTCCTGCCAACCACAGATGTTATTGCCAGTAATTTTTAAAATAAATTTTCATCTCCAGTATTGATGCAAATACTGAATAACAACAGGTCTTGAACTGATCCCTGCGGAAATCCAGTGGAAACATCTCATTTGCTCAGTTCCCAATTGAATCAGCAAACTGTAAGCATATTCTGAATTCAGTTACTCTGTACTTTATTGTTTATATTGTCAACTTTTTAAAAATCAAAATTCCATGTGGTAATAAACTTCTCATGGCATCTTGCAGTTACTTCTTAAATTTTTGTATAATAAATGAGGACTCTCTTTGGCAATGTTATTTGTAGTTTTATGGGCTCTGAAATTAAGTTGCACTGTCTCAGGTTTGTTTTGCTTATGTCACTTTTTGTTTATGCATTTGCTAAACTGTGAACAGCTGCCAAAGCACCAGGAAAGTTTTTCTGCAGAACCAGTAAAAATATTTTACAGATAGGCCAGATTTTTTTTTTTTCGAAATTAATATTTTCATATTCATTCTTATTCTTTGGGTGTTTTTTCCTATTGTCTATCAAGGGAACTTTCTGTTCCTTTGTTTACGCTGTTTGTGTTACTTGTTTTTCTCCTAGATCTGAGAATGGTACTTCTCCAAACCGAAGCTGTTCTAACTTATCTGTGACATATAAACATCAGCCTGTCAGAGCCCTGCCTGCCTGCCTGTGCATTCTTGAAGGCTTATCTGCTTGTGTTGAAGATGCATTAAGGCTCAAGCTCAAGATTGCTGGAGGTGTAAGGCACGGGCACGGCTGCAGTGTAGCTCAGACAGGGACCAAGGGTGAGGACCTGAGCGTCAGCCACCTCCTGAGCAAGGAGGCTCCCCTCAGCTCTTCTCACAACTCTGCTCTTTTCCCAGTGGTCTGATCCAAGGTTACACAGCTGCACCATGGCAAATCTGGCCTTGAGCATCAGCTACCAAGCCCCTAGGAGGGAGTGGGTGTGCTCGGGGCAAGACACAGCCCTTTTATAAGCTCTGGACATTTCCATTTGGTTAAAAATAACAACCTACATCGTTACTGGCAGACAACCAATTTCAGATTGCTTCAGTTTGTTTTATTGCTCTCTGAGATGATTGCAAATAGTGCTAGTTCAGTTGTGTAATTAATTAATGAGTTTATGGAAATACAGACTTTTTTCAGTCTGAGACCATTTGTTTAAGTGTTAGTGATGAGGGCTTGAACTCCTAACCACATGGTTGCAGATCTGCAGGTATAGTGAAGATTATAGGGAGATGATATGAATTTGAATAAATAGGTTCATGAGCAAATATTGATGAACACTTGGATGAACACATGAAAATTGAGATTAAGAAGCGTGCAAGGAGTGTGCTTGAAGACAGTATGGTGAAATATTTTCCTTTTGGGACTTCATTATATGACAGAAAAGGGGGCTTTTCCACTGTGCATTGTTTTGTCTTGTTTCTTTTTCCTTTTTCGGTGCTCCTCCACTGCAGCACTCCTCTCACCAGCAGCATCTCACCATAGGGCTGCAAAGCCAATGGTTTGTATCCCACCTCCAGCGTACTGCAGTCTTTAAAGCTCCCAAATGGTCCATCAGTGCTCTTGTCAGTGTTCAGGCACAGCTGAATGCAGAACAATCCTCGGGAAGACTGCAGTGGGGAAGGCAAGTGGGAGAGAAAGGTGGGATCCCTGTGAGTCTGCATCGCACCCAGTGTGCTGCTTTTTATGATGGGATGGGGCAACTAAGTTGATTTGTGTGTGTTTTCATAAAGACATTTAATGTGTTACTATGCCTCATTATCAGAATAAAAATAGTGGATTTAGTAAATTCTTCAAGGTATTCAAATGCCTGTGTTCCTTTTGCATCCTGGTAAAATGAAAACTATTAATTAGAGTTTCATATGCTGGGTTTTTTTTCCACTGGACCTATTAATCTGTCTATTCCAAATTTGCATTTACACAAGGATGGTGAAGGTATGAATTTATCTTGTGACCAGTGAGCTGCTGTAAAGATGGTGACATTTCAGTAGTGAAACTTTCTCTGTGTTTGTGGCTTCTTGTGTAAAGCATTGAGAAACATGCTTGCAATATGAAAAGTGTATGTCTCTCCTAACTTATCTGCTCTGTCAATGTTCATCTTCCTAGTGTGGCCTTTCTAGTGAAGAGGTTATGGCAATACCTGTAGAGCTAAAGCTCGTTCTAAATTAACATAATCTTTTCATAATTTCAGAATATGTGTCAAGCATTTCACGCACTGTGGTAATTACATACAGGAAAATTGTGATTATATGATCCTGTACCAACTACTTTTCATATTTGCAGCACCACTGAAAAGTATTTTTTATTATTTTTTGTTATTATTACTTGCCATTGGACAATTTGTCACATCTGATTACTTCTGTTTATAATTCTTCTGACTATGTCCCCTAGTTTAAGACAATATTTAGTTTTAAAATAACCCAACCACAAACCGGACTACAGTCTGGTACCACATTAAAAAAGAAAAGGCATCTTTGACTTCTCTCCAGTCTTCACAAAGGTGATAAGAAGCCAGTTGTAAGCAGGTAAGTGGGAATTTTTCCAGAATTAGGAGTAAATTTCTAGGTAAGAAAAGCTGGCATTATGTCCCATAGGCCTGTGCATGGGGGATATAGCTGCAGTGCCACTGTGTCCAGAGACTCCTAGTTCAGTGGGACTCTGGGTGTTTTACAGGCATCTTCACAGTAAGTGTAGAGGTAGTCATGACTCCCTCTGCTGCTAGTGTAATAACAACTCTGTGGTTGTCTTTTCATTTGCATGTCCATTTGTCCAGTTTTTCTAAGTGACAGATAGTATTTGCTGTGTTCTTTCAAGAGGTTGTGTCCAAAGCTTGTGATTTATTTCTACAAGTGAATATGCATACAATATTATTATTTTCAATAAAGCATTCTTTAAGGTCTTGAAATTACTTCTCTTGCTGTGCTACCACTACTGTTATGTGTTCAAGCCTTGAACTGTCAAGGAATTATGAAATATTTTTATCTTGTGACATTTTAAATTATTCTCTCCATAGGGGAAGCCTGTGGGAACGCCAGATGCTGGTGCCTATTTCCGTGTGCTAGCAGAGCATGAAGTAGCTGCCTTCTTTACTTCACCAACTGCAATTAGAGCAATCCGTCAGCAGGACCCTGAGGCAGCCTTGGGAAAGCAGTACTCTCTGAAAAGGTGAACTAAGGATACACTGGAAGTTTTTTCTTACAGAAACAGGATGAATGAATTAAGAATAGCAGAGTGTCTGGGGCTTTGCCCACCTCAGTATAGGAGAATTCAAATGTATTCTTGACAATTTAGGTGTATGTGTATTTGCTTGTAAATTTATATTGATCGTTTGGAGGAGATGAAAGCTGTTAAAAATATTATGACTCTAAGGTTAAGAGCTCTTACTGATTTAGGGTTACTTTCTCAAGCTTAATTTTACTCCACTGTGTTTATAACCTGTAATACAGTCTTGGATTACATGCTCCTGTACTGTTTTCCCACATGACCTCTAATTTAGAATGCACAGGATCTTTAGTGTTCGTTTTATCAGCAGCTAGTCAATGTTTTGTTTATCTCCCCATAATTTAGTGGTCCAAACACTGAGCTATTTGCTATCTCATGCTGTTTTTAAGGTGCTTATCACTATACTATCAGCATGTTACAAAATCATGACTGAGTTCATCCTCACAAATCCCCTGTGAGTGGTATTGTTTGTATTTTGCAGATGAGAAGCTGAAGCACAGAGAGATTAAGGTCAAAGTCTTCTGTTAGTTTTGAATATCCCGTCTGAGCCACTGAACTACCAGTATTTCAGAGTTATTAGAGTTACATGGTTAGAATGCATTATTAGCATTATATTAATAAAATGCCTCTCACACTGACTTGCTTCTGTAAGTGTTTAGTAAGTACTTCTACAGACCAAGTTGCTGTATCTTATAGCAATCAGTCTAAAAATGGAAAATACATGGGTTTGGACCACATCAAATCTTGAAGTTGAATAATTTGCTCAGCATCAAGCAAGGACTGTGTCAGACTCTTTTTATATCACACTTGTCCAAAGAGAAGGGAAGATGCAAAGCCTTGTAGCTTCTTTAGACCTTCACATTCTTAATTGCTCAGGAAAGTTTTATTAGTAAGCTGGATTTATTCCTGAGGTATTAATTACAAGTTCATAATTACTTTCTTCCATTTATTTGGAGTGCTATCATCAATCTTTACCCCTCCTTGAAACAGGAAACAAGCTCATTTGAGACCCTAAAGCACTGTCCTTCTATGATGTTTATTGACAAGAAAGCGATTGCTGTTCCTCAGCATTTTTTAGGCAATGACTAAAATGATTTAGTCTGTCTTTAGAGTATTCATTCAGTGGAAAATCTGTTAACCTGCTTTTTTGGCCAGATGAGAATTCTACACAAGAGTCTCCTTGCTGATATCAGTTGCCCCAGATTTAAAGAGGTATTTCATCATTCCTGTTCAGTGCATAGTTAACGAACTTCTCCATTTGTCTGCAAATTTAGTTGTCTCATAATTCAGTCAGCTTGAGCCATGTCATTCCCTCTTATGTGACTTCTTTTTACTAAACCCTCTAGTGCAGCATTTAATATCTTGTATTCTCTTGGATTGTTTTAAGTCAGTACTATATAAATCCCAAAGTCTTTTTTCACCCATAGGTGAAAATGATTTTGGATTTTATATAGTACTGACTTAAGTCCGGTGAATGTTCTCCAACCAACCAGTATAGTGCAGTACATTTGACAGTCTTCAGCATGTCTCTCTTTTCATGTTAGACTAGGATTATTTTACTGTTAGGCCTAGTCTTTACAGTCTAACTGCTTGGCTGTTTGTGATACTGTGGTGTAGATTACTGAATTTGGAAGGGTGCTCAAAATTAGACTGTCTATCCTATGATGATTTCAATATTAACATCCAGCTAGTTATAGTGCATGTCCATTTTATGGGTTAAGGTGCAGTTAAAAAAGGGGGTCCAACAGGTGATTAAAATTTCCATTCTAGGAAAATTCTAGCTTTTGGGTGTTTCTTGGGTGGACTTTTCCATCCAAGGTCAAGTGAATTCTGTTTGTTTCAGTTTGAAATCGGTCTTTACTTTTAGTTCATTTACTTCATCTATCATGCTTTCTTCTCTGTTACATGGTGCAGAATCTTTGAAATTAGGTCTTTCTGCTACCTGGGCTAAGATATATGCCTACTTACTCTAGAGACTCCAAAACACATGTCCAGGAATGCTGTCCTGAAAGAGGTTTCCACCATGGCACATTTCATTCCTGAAAACTTCTTTTAAAAAACTGATAAAGGTCAATGTCACTTCTTAAAATTCCTGTTCAGTAAGACAATTACTGATAAGGTACAGATTTGACAGGCAATGCCTGCTTCCAGTATACAAAGAAATACTTGATTTATAGGAGTAAATTGCATTATAAACAGATTTGCATTTGGAATCTGTTCTCATCTTCACGAGGTAACTCCATAACACCGAGCCATTAACTCTTCCCATATTTGGAATCACACTTCATCCTTTAATTGACTTAATTGTTATGAACTAGTTAAGTCTGGTTTCCAAATGATTGGCAGCTGATAGTTTTGCATGAAATGGGGCAACAGCTCAGCAGATTAGATTAATACAGAAGTAATAATCTGCAGTTTATGTCCCGTAGCCTTCTTGGCTTTCTTGACTTAAGCCAATTGCAAATGTTCTACCATATTATGTCAAGAGATTCTAGAGATTCTTGCTTGTTTGTTTGATACCAGATATTAATGCACTTGCTTTAGAAAGAAATATGAGACTGCATTAAAACTGTGCAGAAATAATGAATATAAAGTAGATTAGTAACTCTTATTTTCTGTCTCATAACACACGAACAAGAGGATATGAAATGAAAGCAGCAAATCCAAAACTTTTAGAACAAAATACTTTTTCATGTAATTGATGTCTCACACATGCTGCTAGAGGATATGTGATTAAGACCCAGAATTTAGGACATTGAAGTACATTATGCAGTTCTGTCTGCTACTCACTGCTTTCCACTGCTGTAGATCACGTATGGCCTTTCCTGTTAGAGTCCTGAGCTGTGTTCATAAATAGCCTTTGTGGAGCTATCCTTCACCCACACTGTGAGAAGGAGCTGAGTGGCAATTGTCATGAGTATCCATGACTTTAGAGTAGAATAGAATAAAGTGGAGTAGAGTGGAATAGAATAGCACAGTTCAGTTGGAAGGAAGCTACAATGATCATCTAGTCCAGCTGCCTGACCAATTCAGAGCTGACCAAAAGCTAAAGCATGTTATTAAGGGCATTAGCCAAATGCATCTTAAACACTGACAGGCTTGGGGCATCGACCACCTCTCTAGGAAACCTGTTCCAGTGCTTGACCACCCTCTCAGTAAAGAAATGCTTCCTAATGTCCAGTCTAAACCTCCCCTGACGCATCTTTCAACCATTCCCACTTGTCTTGTCACTGGATACCAGGGAGAAGAGATCAGCACCTCCATCTCCACTTCCCATCTTCAGGAAGCTGGAGAGAGCCACAAGGTTGCCTCTCAGCCTCCTTTTCTCCAGTCTGGACAAACAAAGTCCTCAGCTGCTCCTCATAGGACATTCCTTCCAACCCTTTCACCAGCTTTGTTGCCCTCCTCTGGACACATTCAGGGATGTTAACATCCTTCATTAACATTAAACGTTTAAGAGAGTTTTAAATTGCTTATAAGTGCAAAAAATCTGCTATGACATAAATAAAGTTATGGTGCAAGTGTTAGAAAGGTCAAAACCTTAGTAGCATTCAGTAATGTATCCTAGTGTCTAGCTTCTGAGTACCGATAGCCATATTTAAGAAAGCTGCTATTGACATAGAGGACCTTATCATTCTAAACAAGGCATGAAGTGAATTAATGTGCTTAATGAAGGACGATAAAGTGTTACTAAATATCCAATAAAAGATTCTGAAGTTAAAGACTGTGTGTGGATTTAATACCCAGTTATTTAGCATTACCTGATTTAATGGTACAACCATGCAGATCAGATCTGTCAGGACTGCCAGGTGTTGCATCTCTTCTCTGCCAAAGGTAGCTCCAAAACATCTGGTCAAATGAGCTGAAGTCTAGTACTATGATCAGGGACCCATGGCTGCTGAATCTTGTTCTGATAGGCATTAGCTAGTAGGATTATTTATTTTTTTATTTCATAGAATCATAGAATGGTTTG